AAGGAAACCAAATATATTGAGATACAGTTAAATACTTTTTTTAAAAGTTCACAGACCCCAGGCTACTAAGGACCTCTGTCCTAGACTTACTATGATAGCTCAAAAATATTAATATTTTTCCTTTTAAACTCACCTACCCTATTTAATTTTCTGTTGGATCTCCTAGCTATGGTTTGCCTGCTAGCCTAAAAATCTTGAATAATCATCTTCTATTGTTTAATGGGCTTCTTACTGAAAAATTTAGACTTAAATCGAAGAAAGTAGGGGAAATCATCAGAATGTATAGGTATGATCTAAATAACATCCCTTATGAACATGTGATGGAGGTGATGAAAAGATTTTAGGTATTGCATCTAGTTGATAGAGTGCCTGAAAAACTATAGACAGAGGTCCACAATATTATAGAGGGAGCAGCAACACAAAATATTCCAAAGAAAAAGAGGAGGAAGAAAGCAAAATGGCTGTCTGATTAGGCTTCAAAAATACCTGAGGAAAGAAGGAAAGTGGAAGGCAAAGATAATAGTCAACTGAAAGCAAGACAGAATAGCAGGGAGAGAGAGATAAGGTTTTCTTAAATGACCTGTTCAAAGAAATAGAAGAAAACAATAGAACAGGAAAGGCAAAAGATCTCTTCAGGATACTTGGAGATATCAAGGAAATGTTTCCTGCAAAAAACAGGCATGATAAAAGACAAAACTGGTTGGTACTTAACAGAAATAGAAGAGATTAAGAAGAGGTGGCAAGAATACACAGATGAACTATAGAAGGAGCTTAACGTTACTGATAACCACAAAGGTGTGGTTACTGACATAGAGCCAGACATCCTGGAGAATGAAGTCAAGTGGACCTTAGGAAGCTTTGCTAACAATAATGCTAGTGGAAGTGATGGAATTCCAGCTGAGCTATTTAAAATCTTAAATGATGATGCTGTAACAGTGTTGTGCTAAATATGCCAACAAATCTGGAAAACTCAACAGTGGCTACTGGATTGGAAAAGATCAGTTTACATCCCAATCCAAAAGAAGGGCAATACTAAAGAATGTTCAAATTATTGAACAACTGAACTCATTTCACATGCCACCAAGTTATGCTTAAGATTTTGCAAACTAAGCTTCAGCAATATGTGAACCAAGAATAAGCAGAAGTGCAGACTGGTTTTCAAAGAGGCAGAGGAACTAGACACCAAATTGCCAAAATTCACTGTATTAGGGTGAAAGCAAGGAGTTCCAGGAAAAAAATCTACTTCTGCTTCACTGACAACACTGTTTGGATCACAGCAAATGGTGACAAGTCCTCAAAGAGATAAGAGTACCAGATCATCTTATTTGAGGAACCAGTACGCAGATCAAGAAACCACAGTTAGAACCAAACGTGGAGCAACTGATTAGTTCAAGACTGGGAAAGGCGTATAACAAGACTGTACATTGTCACCTTGTTTATTTAACTTATATGCAAAGTACATCATGCAAACTGCTAGGCTGGATGAATCAAAAGGCAGAATTAAGATTGCTGAGAGAAATAGCAATTTCAGATATGCAAAAGATACCATTCTTGTGGTAGAAAGTGAAGAAGAATTAAGAAACCTCTTGATGAGGGTGAAAGAGGATGAAAAAGCTGGCTTGAAGATTAACAAGAAAAAAACCAAGTTCATGGCATCTGGACTCATTACTTCCTGGCAAATTGAGGGAGAAGAAATAGAAGTAGTGTGAGATTTTATATTTTTGGCCTCAAAGATCACTGCAGATGGTGACTGCAGCCACAAAATTAAAAGACACTTGCTCCTTTGAAGGAAAGCTATGGTAAATTTAGACAGCACACTAAAAATCAGACACATCATCTTGCTGACAAAGGTCTGTTTAGTCAAAGACATGGTCTTCCTAGTTGTAATGTATGGCTGTGAGAGATGAACTCTAAGGAAATCTGAGTGCCACAGAATCAGTGCTTTCAAATTGTGGTGCTAGAGTTCCTTGGACATCAAGGAGGTCAATTAGTTCTGACTGTTCATTGGAGGGGCAAATACTGAAGCTGAAGCTTAAATATGCAAAAAGACCATATGATGACCATATGATGAGAAGACAGGACTCATTCAAAAAGACTCTGATGCTGAGAAAGATTGAAGGCAAAAGGAAAAGAGGACAGCAGAGGATGAGATGGATAGACAGTGTCATGGAAACAATGAACATGAACTTAGACAGACTGAGAGATAGAGAGTGAAAGACAGAAGGTCTTGGAGTGCTATGGTCCATGAGGTCATGAAGAGTAAGACATGACTGAATGACTGAAAAAGTGTTTAATGCCATTGTGGAATCCCACACGTTTTCAGGCCCTTCCTTCCTTCCTTCCTTCCTTCCTTCCTTCCTTCCTTCCTTCCTTCCTTCTTCCTTCTTTCCTTCCTCCCTCCTTCTTTCCTTCCTCCCTCCCTTCTTTCCTTCCTCCCTCCCTCCCTTCCTTCCTTCCTTTTTCTTTCCTTCTCTTATTCTTTGGTGATTATGCACTTCCATTTAGATTGCCCTTGTAATGGCAGGGATTCACTGGGGTTAATTTTGGGTGCCCTTTTGTATAGGGACTCAGAAGAAATTTATCTGGACCTCCATGGGAAATGCCTATAATACAGGAACTGCTGGAGGAATTTTGGTATGTCCTGTCTAGAAAGGGACACCTAAAGATTTTGCCTGGTACCCAGTGCTATGAACTGAGGGAAGTATGGAAGAATTTTTACCTAAGACAGTTTGATTTCTCATCAAGGGTAGGGGGATAATTTCCCATTCACCCATGTGCAAAATCTCTATAGGAAGAGAGCCTCATGTATTCTGGAAAACTCTTTAGGGATCAAATTTCCCTCTTAGATATGAAGTTTGATTTTCTTTGTCTTTGTCTTGTCTTTATTGCCTTTGGGTAGGGAAGGCCTTTTGAAAGAACCAAAACAGGTACTTTATATATTCTAGTCAAGTAGGAATCTCTGATAAACTTTATAAAAATATTCTTTGTTTACTGAATATGCATAACTGTATTTGGGGACAATATTTCTAACTACAGTTTGGGATTCTGCCATGTCTAACCTTTTTTTTTTTTTGAGACCTATATTGCACAGAAGACCTATAATGCCTATGGCTCCATGTTATCCCACAGAACTTTTCGGGATGGGAATATGGACAATGAGTCTATAATGTAGTCAATATGTTGAAGGTATGAAAAATTTAATGGGAGGAGGAACGTAATGGGAAAAGGATATTAACACACTAAGTACAGAGAAAAACGCCTCAAAAGCTGATGCAGAATAAACATGGAATATCATAATGGCCTTTGCTAAATGCATTAGTAGGGCAGGTTTGAAAAGCATTTTATATATGTTATCGCATAATATCATGATTTTTTTGGCCAGTTTCAGACATGTGAGATGATTTATAACCCCCAGGATTCAGTATGTAACTGAAACAGAACAAAGCCAACTGACCCTTAAAATGGCATCACTATGATGTGTCTTATCCAGCAATCTACAAACAATACATAATCTATAGAGAATTTTTAAAAGCCAAATTTTATACTGTAGTTCAAGAAGAATGAAACAGGCAAAAGTATATAACCTTGCAATATCATTAATTATATAATATGTTAAATAGCAGGGGCATTATATAATGCAAAAGTCTCTGAGAAGTGAAAATAAATACCACACATAATGCAATAGAAATTTAGGCTACACCAGTCCTAATCAATGAGGAACTTTTAAGAAGAATAGGAATAAAAGATATCATCAAGGAAATGTATCATAGGAGGAGAAGATAAAGATGACTAGTAAACAGTCAAAATGCTCCACTGGCATCTATACCATGTCAGGGAAAAGTAACGAAAGCCTTCATTCAGTACATTGGATGGACCCCTTGTGGTGAACTTATGGTATAGAATGGACAAAAGCCATGAAGGGCAGGCAGACATGGATGAGCTGTATCCTCCATTATTGGAGGAAACAACCTAATCAGTGAGATCAAAGCTCCATTTGGGAATTTAAGTATGCTCAAGTAAAGTTCTTATTAAGAACTCAATTACCCTTGACACATCCATGACCAGCATTAATTCACATGTATGTTTGTTTTCTGATTCTTGATATATTTTAAAAATCATGATTGACTTTTTAGAGAATTTTTGATTTGCACATTTCTTCTTTTACTTTAGCTTTAAAATTAATTTAATTCCTTCACAGCACTTTGGGCATAATTCTTATGGCATAATTTATGCTGAGTTTGTAAATATGAATACATGTTCATGATATTTTCTTTATCTCATTGGACATATAGTATTAGGCATTAAGGGAATAATAATAATAACAATAATGAGGTTTTCACACCCATTGTGTGGCTTTGTCTTTGCTTGATGATGCAGTGACATTCTGAAAGTAAAGGACTGAATTTATTTGGATATGTCTATGTACATATATACACATGCACAAGTGCTAAGTGGGAGGTTTTAATTTATTTCCCCTTAGCCTTGAAATAAAACTATCAGTTCCCATTCACCATTGCAATTAATTAGTCTTGACACCTCAACTTCTTTGACCGCGGAATGTATTTTGAAATGACTGCGAACAGAAATAATTTAATCTAATAAAGTATCAAGTGCTGTTGGTCACTAGTAACCAGTGCTGGTGGTTATAATGGAGAGAGAGAAAAAAATTCTCGAATGAAAATTCTATTATGTTCCTTACCAAAACTTTAGACATGGCAAACCTGCAGAATAATGGAAATGAGGGATGCTTGTCAATCAATAATGTTGGTTTAGTTTATTTCTTTAGGGAATACCACATTTCTAAGTCTTAGAGTTCATTTTTTCTCCAACCCAAATAGTTTTCTTTCTTTAAAATGTGATTATTGACTCCAAAGAGAATATTACAAAGGATGTCATCTGCTAATGGCAACCTCCAAACTAAAAGTAACAGTATTCATGAAACATGAAAAGCACATTTTAAAAAGATAGCCTCTTTTCAGATATATGGAATATAGACTTACTCTTTTGGTTAGCTGGGTATCCATCATGAAATTATGCACGTGTTTTTCAGCTTTGGTAAGTTCTAATTTCCTGGCAACCACAGCTACCACCAGTGCAGTGCAACCAGCACCCTGCAGATGACAAGAGAGAACCCCAAGGAATTACCATTGGGAGTATCACATGCAGCTTAAGATTCTTTACCTATGCAGAAAAACTGCATTGTAACAAGTGCATTATTTGGTAGATAGAAACATCATATTGGTACAAGCATTAAATATGGTCATCAAGTATTGTGAAAGACAGAGAGAGTAAAGTTTGAGTAAGTAAATAACACACTATCAATTTGAAGTGGTTATTTATAAATGACTTTTAGGGAATTTAAAATGACACCTGTAAATATTGCATTTCTATCATTAGAAGAAGATGCAGGTAGCTATATTTGCCAAGCATCACAAGCAACTTATTGAAATTAAAGAAAATGTTAAGAAGAATAAATATATAGTGTTATTTCTCAGAATGATTATAAAAATAAGGGGAAAATTACCATGAACCCATTTAGTGGAAATATGAATCAAAGGATCAATGACAGGCATTTTTCCTGGTAATGATTCAGCTGTAGACTGAATATTTATTATTTTGAATGAAGGTGAGTTCCATCTAGATGGAATGAGGAAGGGTACATCATTAAATGGCTTTACATAATATAGTATGTGCTCAATAAACAATGGTATTGGGAGGGAAAGAACACTTTATTCCTGGAAAACTGGGGTACTATGTCTTTGGAAAATGATGTCCAATCTAAATATATTTAGAGGCATGTTAGGAGGCAGACAGAACTGGTTGAGTCATGGGTCACTCAGAAGTCAGGCACAAGGATTGTTTAAGTATTGGCTGAGCTGGGACAAGTGGTAGGAAAGACAGCTCTTTAGAGAGCAACATGCAGAAGGGTACAAGTAATAAGGGACCTTTATTAATATCACTTTTTATAAATGCACATATTTTTAATATTAGATAATACTTTTCTCCTCGGTACATATTTATTTTGTGACATCAAGGTATATACATTTGTTATAGGGAAGGTTCAATTCAAGTCCGTATTGGAATTTTCATGCTTGACCTAGATCTCAAAAAGCCCATGAGCTCTGGACTTGAGCCACTTTTTTTGAATTTGAAAGGAGAAGGCAGGTTTCACTCTATTTAGCGGCCCTAAGAACCTACTCCCTGGTAATCTGAGGGCACACAGTTCATGTAAGGTTTCATGGGCATAAACAGGTATGTTAAGGATTATGGTCTGGATACTGTGTTACAAGACCTGTATACATTGCTTCTTTCCAATGTAATGATATGCTGGATCACGAGGAGAGCTCCTGGGTTCTACCTATAAGCACAATGGCCCAGTGAATCATAACATCATGAGTTAGGACCTGAAGACATCATATTCCATCTTACAAATGAGGAAACTGAGGTTCGGAGAAATTGAGTGATTTGTCCTTAAGCAGACAACTACTTTTGGGTATCAAAGGTTAGATTTCTACCCAGTTCTCGACTCCAGGCCAGCATTCTATACACTACTCTCCTCTAAGAATGCTTTCCATTGTACTAGACTACCCAGGAGAACATGAGTATAGGTATTTTGTGCTTTAGCTAGAGGATGATGCCAAACTGCTAACCTGTTTATGACAGCATGTCCTATTGTTCACTACTGCTGTGGTCCCTTGGCTAGTAGTCATGTTACACTGCCTCACCCCCAGTGAGTAACTTTGTCCTTCTTACCACTGATACTTCTGGTAAACAAACAAACAAACAAACAAACAAACAACCAGTTACTCATTGGTTCAATTAGGCAGCTAGGTGGCCCAGTGGCTAGAGCATTGGGCTTGGAGTTGGGAAGACCTGAGTTAAAATCCAGCTTCAGACATTTGCTAAGCTGTGTATCACTGGACAAGTCACTTAACCTCTGTCAGCTTCAGTTTCTCAAATTGTAAAATGAGGATAATAATAGTGCCTATCTCACAGTTGTAGTGAGGATAAAAAGAAATAATATTTGTAAAGTGCTTAACACAGTGCCTAGCATGAGGATAGGGAAACTGTGGCCTTGAGGTCCTCAGGCGTGGCCCTTTGACTGAATCCAAACTTCACAGACATTTGGTTACAGAACAAATACTGAACAAACTGGTTCTGTGAAGTTTGGATTCAGTCAAAGGGCTGTACTTGAGGACCTAGAGGGCCACATGTGGCCTTGAGGCTGCAGGTTCCCCACTCCTGCCCTAGCATATAATAGACTTGTTGCCTACCCTTCTTCTCTTCCCATTAAATAAACATTTATTAAGTGCCCACTGCATGCAAAACACTGTGATAAGTACTAGGTGAAATTCTGGATATGAAATGGACCCTTTCCTTACAAAGCTTATGGGGAAAATGATTCAAAAACAGATAATCATAATAGGCAATAATGTGTAAAACTGCATCAAAGAGATACAAAATAAGGTGTTGTGTGAGGGCAAAGGGAAAAGGTTGTTGCTCATAGGAAGGATCAAAGAAAGCTTCGTTGAAGAAGAGGCATTTGAGTTAGGCTTTAAATGATAGGTAGGAAATTCAGCAGATCCAGTTGAGTAGAGAGGATATTTAGTAGAGGAATGAAGGCAAAGAACAGGCCAGTTTTGTTAGAATATGGTGAGCATTGTAGGAGTACTACTAGATAAGGCAAGAGAAGAGGGTGACAGAGCATGGAAGATAGTTCCAGCCTGAAAGGACGTGACTGCCGGCCCAAGGAATTTGAACTTTTCTTATTAGACAGGAGGGAATCACTGAAGATTCCTGAACAGGCAAATGGTATAACCAATGATATGAATTTTAATTGCAATTAGACGTCTTCAAAAATGTCAGCTGTAGTCCAAAGTTAAAAAATAAAAACATCTTAACCTTTAGCAACATTGCATTTCCTTTTTTAATTCCAAAATCATAAAGTAATTTTTTCCTCCCTCCTCTCTAGCTAGCTCCTTCACAAATTCTTCTCTAACCTCCCTGCCCTACCCCCATACTACTGAAATCCTATAGGAAAATTCCCTTCTGGCACCTCAATTTTCAGATTGGTGGCTTCGAACACTATTTTAAGAAAGTCCAACTATTCTGCTTCACTCCTTTCTCTTTGGTCCCCTTCTCCACAGCTTTCTTGCCAACTGCCTTGCTTATGGACATATATGTACATTTTTTCAAACCATACCTTTTAGATCTGGAACCAAGAACCATGATCAAATCAATTCTGTCACTGTTCCTGGATGTTAATCTACTTCTCCAAAATCTCACAATCCCTATACAATTCCTACCAAAGTGCCCAATTCTGGTTACTCTTCCCTAATAAGTGTCATCTCTCCTATTAAAATATAAATTTCTTGAGGGTAGGGACTGTCTTTGCTTTACCTAGGGTGTGCTTGGAATACCTCACACGCTTTATAAATGATTTTTTCATTCATTCTTTCCTACCTTTGCTAATCCAAGAAGTTTGTTTCTATAAACATTTTTTTAAAAGTTAGGATAGTAAATCATGGAGAATTTGATTTTTATTTTATTTAGAATTCAGAAAATTTTTAATTTAGGCATAATTCTGTGGCCTTGTTAGTTTGGCTTATTAGTTTGATTGAAAGTTTCATGTTCTACACATGAAAGGCCATGCAGAACAATGAAAAGAATACAGGATTCAGGATCAGAGAATTTGCATTCAAATCCTGCATCAACTCTTTAATACCTGTGCGACTTCAGGTAAGTCATATTCTCTCTGGGCCTCTGTTTTCTTATTTATAAAATAGTTTGTATTTAGAAAATACTGGACTAATATTTAAGTTCCCTTTCAGCTATGATCCATCAGAATGACCACACTACCGATGTGAATTCAACATTTAACCTGAATGAAGCAGGTCTGGAAAAGGGAACCCACCTTCCCTAGCACTGTCTCCCCAGTGTTTTATTCTTTCAGCAACACAGACATGGCTGTGCAGTGACCATGAAGAGTATTATTTCTTTAAAATGAGATTTCAGAAAGCTTGAAAGATAGTTTGTATTCAAAATTCTGTAAAGTTAATCAATAACATAAGAAAGGAACCCTGATCATTAACCATTTAAGCTAGTGGACACTTTATGGATAATCAAGTCCAGTTCATTCAGGAAACTAAAGCCAAAATTTAAGTAATGTGTTCAAAATGCTTCTGTTTCACATTAAAAATGATTTTTCCTTCCTATGGTTTACCTTAGCTGGGTCTTTACACAGGCATATCCCAAGTTAATTGATGTCTATGGTATTTGATTTACCACAGAGATAATTTTTGGTGGTACATTCAAGAGATCATTTTACTCATGTTTATATCCCTTGTTTTGAAGATTACAACTGTATAAATTGTTATTATTTACAAATCCAACACAGCTTGCAGTAAAAAACAAAGGCATTCATGTTCTATGGTATGGTTGGCTTACTGCAATACAGTCCTGTTCCAATGTCTTGTTGGTGTGATGGTGACCCTGATTTCTCCAAAGATATTCTAATAGAGAACAAACAATGGTAGATCCTATATCAAATTGATGAATTAGCCTACTTAGGTTTGGAGAGATTCATCAGCACAAGGTTGGCTACAAAGTAACACACTTTTATGATAACAGTAACTCATAAAGACCTGATGAAACCATGGATCCTTGAAGTATTAAAGTATGACTAATGTCTATTCTACCAATCTTAAAGTGAAAAGGAAATGGAAAGATGGAAGTGACACCTATGAATTTCTATTTGTATTAAATTATTTTCTTCATTTGTTGACAATGATATTAAATTCAGAATAATAAAAATTAGAAAGCAAAAGACTTTCATTACTAATTTTCAACATTACATAACTATGGTTAGAGTGAAGAAATAGAGAATAAGAAACTTATTAGGACAGGAGAGAAAAGAGAAGGTAGGCATAGAACTAAAAGGGTAATTTGCTGCTATCCTGTTGTCTTCTTTTCATATAGTAGATTGTGTATCTAGAGTAAGATAATGTCTGGGCTGAAAAATTCTGAGGATTCTTTACAATGAACTGTTTTTCTGTTCACTCTCCTACTTTAGGTGTTGGAAAAAAATTAATATTGCCTAAACACAGTTATA